CCTCAACCATGGGTCTCTGCCCCCGGGTGGCAACCCCAAGGATGGCTCTGAATTCCTTGCAAGTGAAGAGTCTGCTGTGGGCTAAAAGCTTCTCCCCATACTCCTGGTGGCCTGGCTCCCCTCTGTCCTTTACAGCCTTGATCCCACCTGAGCTTTCTGGAAAGGCCTCCTAAACAAATGAGTCACACTCAAATGTCTTCCTCTTTTGTGTGTGTGTGTGTGTGTGTGTGTTTCGAGTTCGAGTCAGGTTTTCTCTGCTTAGCCTTGGCTGTCCTAGAACTCCTCTGTAGACCAAGCTTGTCTTGAACTCAGAGATCCACCTGCCTCTGCCTCCTGAGAGCTGGCGTTAAAGGCATGCGCCACCATCTCCCAGCTTAAATCTGTCTGCTAAGGGTCTGTTTTTAGTGGATCCTAAACTAGACATGTTGCTATTTTTTTTCCTTCACACTGATTTTGTTTGTTTGTTTGGAGACAGACTCTTCCTCCGTAGCTGTGCTGGTCTGAATCTCAATTAACTCGTGGGTCTTCAACGCTCAAGCTCCAAAGTGCCGGAACACACATGTGAGCCACCATACCTGGTCACACTCAAGGTTTTGAAACAGTAATGGTTTATACGGCAGTTTATGCCAGGGTGCTACAGATCTTTTCCATCCTAAGGAGGGGTGGTGGGTTCGGGGCCAGGAGCTTTGCCTTGCCCTGAAGATCTGTGGGAAGGTGTCTGTGGAGGTGTTGGGCTGGCACTCACAGAGTATCCCCTTAGAATAGGAGCACACTGGGACTCTCTCTGATCCTACAGTTGTCAGCCAGTCTCCAATATACTTGTTTCTCACTCCAAGGAACCCATCCCCTAGGAAGTCTTCTCTGTCTAAAGCCAGTCCCATCCGGACCTCTGTTCTTCAGGACCTCATGAGCTTGTTTCTATCTGGGCAAGCCTGTCATGCCTGTCACTGTTACTCTCTCACACAGTGGAAGCCACTCAGGTCAGAACCTGGTCTCCTTCCCATCAGTCCCAGGCCCTAGCTAAGACTTATAGAGAGAGATCAGCAAGTGCACATATGGAAGAAGACAAGCAATTGACCAGCTGTCCAAAAAACACTAGCAGAGCAAGGTCCAGGCAGCGAGCCGGATAGGTCTGCTGCAGTTGGGTCCCTGCCTCCAGCTGCATGGTGGAGGTCCCCTAGGTCCACAGTACCGAGCCTCCAACCCTTCACCCAACGTGGCTGTGCCTGTGGACTTCATGCTCCATTTACCCATATGGTGGCCTGGCCTATAGCATGACCCTGTAATGGGACAGACAGCTGCGGGAGAGGGTGAAGGAAGAAAGCCAGCAGGTGGAAACCCTCCACTGAGTTGGGAGCTGTGGGGCCCTGCTAGCACTGTCTGTCACAGCTGCCCTGACCCTCTGGGTTGGGCTGCTTCACAAGTTCCATCATTTTGAGCAGAGGGAAAGTCCTGAGCAGAAGTTGGAAGCCACAGAAGTCAGCCTGAAGCCTTCCTTGCTTTCTAGAGCTCTTTACCCTGCACCCCCCTCCTATATGCCCTTCAGGGACAAGTACCTTTATACTGCGTCTGACCATGGCTGCTTCACTGGATTTTGCATCTAGGGCCAGTGCTAGCCTCTGGCTTGGGCCTTGCATCAAGATAGCCACACACCGCATGTAGCATCTTTGAGAGCACTGGCCGCTGAGATTGGTGTCCAGGGTCCCACTAAGATAAAAGCATAAGTTCCTTGCCTTTTTTTTTTGAGATGGGTCTCATTATGTAGACCAGACTGGTCTTGAACTCACAGAGATCTGCCTGCCTCTGCCTCCCAAGTGCTGGGATCAAAAGCCTGTTTGACCATGCACAGTTTATTCAAGGTTTGTCCAAGCCACCTTTGGATGCAATTTGCCTGAATTGTGTGGAATACAGTTGCATGCAAGGAAGTCACTTCCTCAAATGCAGCATTAATTTGTAGGGGTCTACATGTGGGCAGACAAAGCTATCTACAGGGATACAACTAAGCCTCTTTTGTTTTTTAAATATTCCTTTAAGGAATAATCTGCTGACTTTTTTTTTTTTTTGGTTTTTCGAGACAGGGTTTCTCTGTGGTTTTGGAGCCTGTCCTGGAACTAGCTCTTGTAGACCAGGCTGGTCTCGAACTCACAAAGATCCTCCTGCCTCTGCCTCCCAAGTGCTGGGATTAAAGGCGTGCGCCACCACCGCCCGGCTTTCTGCTGACTTTTTTTAAAAAATAAAAGCTATTTATTTTACTGCATTAAATTTTTTTGTTTGTTTTTTTGTTTTTCGAGACAGGGTTTCTCTGTGGCTTTGGAGCCTGTCCTGGAACTACCTCTGTAGACCAGGCTGGTCTCGAACTCACAGAGATCCGCCTGCCTCTGCCTCCCAAGTGCTGGGATTAAAGGTGTGTGCCACCACCGCCTGGCCTGAATTTTTTTTTTAAGTAGCAGGGAGGCTGATGACACAGTACATGTATGGAAGTCAGCAGAGGAATTATGGGAGCCATTTTTCTCTTTCTTCTGTTAGGTTGTCAGGTTTTGGGGGGGGGGGGGCAACTACTTACCTGCTGGACCATCTTGCCAATCTCTTACAGTTGTCTTACGTATTGACAGAGGAGATAAAAGTGGGAATTCTCCATTACGAAAGAAGTCAGAAGAGTGAACTTTGAGCCTGGATTATGCTAAGAAGGAAGGCCGATCCCCTGGGTACTGTGGGCAAGCACAGGGAACTCAGGAATGGACTTGTGTCTCTACGTAGGGAACTACCTAGTTTTCAGACAGGGAACCCTGCACTTTGAATAGCAAGCCCTGCCTTGGGGTGGGTAGGGGCAGCCCCAGGACAGGTCCTGTGTCTAGGAGTGTTGTTTTGTTCTGGTCTTATCCACCAGGTAAAATACAGGTCACAAGCTGAAGGCAACCCAGGCTGCCCTGTGTGGGGCCCTTCTCATTTTCACCCATCAGGAAAGACCTGTGCCTGGCGGGCCAGTTTGAGGTCCGGGTCTTTGGGGGGCAAGTTCCCACTTCTTGACTTACACTGTCTTTAAGGCTCTGGTTTTGAATTCTTGTGCCAGGCCTTTGTTGTATGTTACCTACTCTGGGTGTCACCCTGCAAGACTGTCCTACATCCAGTACATGAAAGGGCAGGCAGTGGCAGCCATAACCTGGATACATGATGTATGGATGGGCATTTGGTTCCCAGTCCTGGAGACTGAAGGGTAAGGGTCACATCAGCTGCCAGCCTGAGAATCACAGAGATCTGTTGTCCAAGCTACCGGCTAATGGGTGACTCAAGAAGAGACAATAGCTGCTAGGCACAGCTTCTTCAAGGCAGGACTGTGTCCCAAAGTCCCCACCTCACAGAACAGGATCCAGTAGACAGGAGCTGCTGGTGGCTGGGTCGGCAAGTTCACGGGGTGGTCGATGCTGTGTGGAAAGACGCAGGAACTTTCCATAGCTGTGTGTCCTCTGCATCTTGGCATCCCTCGGTCATGCTGTGAGGTTCTGCAATTCTAGCTGTGTGGGGTTTGGGTGTGGAGCTCTGTTTATCAGGTGGCATCATTACTACACACGGAAACCCAGATGTCGGGCAGTTCTGCACCAGAGACCTTGAATGGTTCTTTGTGACATACCGGTTGTGTGGGCACCTAGATTTTTTTTTTTTTGTGGTATCTTTTTATCATAAGGGCAGCCTGGCGTGAGTATTATGTGGTGTCCTTATGCAGGAACCTGGAATACGTGTTATAGTACTTTATCCATACAGTCGTGTGCAGACCCTCAGTGCTTTGAGATGATGCTGTAATCAGACTCTAAAGTTTTGTGGCATCCTTGTCATGAGGGCATCTGGGGTTTGTTTTGTGGTGTCCTTGTTAGGAGTGCATCTCCGGGGTGTCTGTAGAGCACGACGTCCAACTGTATGGGGAGTGGAGGTTATTTCGCAGTATCTCCGTAGAATGAGGACCCCGGGACCTAAGGCAGCAGCGGCGCAGATCTACTGCAGACCGCCACTCAGCTGGCCTGCGGTTGTGGCAGGGGCCTTGTGGGTTTCGGGGCCCCAAGACCGTGGTGGCAGCAGGACCGGAGACTTCCCAGCCGCGCAGGAAGCGGCCTCGGCCGGAAGGGGGGCCCCAGGCGCCTCCGCTGTGGCCGCCTCTAGCGGCCTTCACAAGGCGGGGCCGAGCGGGACCGAGTAGCGCCGAGCGAGGCCGAGTGGGGCCGAATGGGGCCGAGCGCGGCCGAGTTCCGGCCCGGGGGACCCGAGCGGAGCCGAGCTGGGCCGAGTGAGGGCCGGGAGTAGCCGAGCGCCACCGAGCCCGGGAGGGGGAGCGCGCGTTCTTGGAAGAGCCGGCCCGGAGCTGGTCACATTCCTGGCCCGCACTTCGGCTGAGGCGGACGCACAGCAACAAACAACGCGGGAGGCGGGGCCGGCGCGGGCGGGGCGGGGCGGTACGGGGCGGGGCGGCGCGCGGCGGCGTGAGCTCAGCTCCCGGTGCTCAGTCCGAGCCGGAGCGAGCCGCCCGAAAGATGTGCGCCGAGCGCGCCGAGCCCCGCGCCGCCGCCGCGCTCTGAGGCCGCGGGCCAGAGGCGCCTCCGCCGCCCCGGGAGCCGCGCGCGCGGGCCGGCGGGCGGCCGGGAGCCGGCGGGCGGCCGCGCGGGCGGGCAGGCGGCCAGGGGCCGGCGGCGGGCGCGACGCGGTCGGCCAGCACCGCCGGGACGAGCCGAGCGGGCGCCGCGCGGTGGGAGGAGCGGGGCAGCGGCGGCGCGCCGCGCGAGGACGGCCCGGCGGGCCCCGCGCCCGCGCCCCCGCTCCTCCCGGGCCCCTCGGCCTCGGCTGCCGCGGCGATTCGCGCCTCGCGGCGCCGGCACCTGCCCGCGCGCCCCCCGCGAGCCCCGGGCCCGCGAGCGTTGGCGTTGGCGTTGGCGGCGCGCGCCGGGGCATGCCCCGCGCCTAGAGCCCGGGGGGCGCGCGGGGGGCGCGCGGGGGGCCCGGGCGGCGGCGGGCGCGGCGCAGGGCGCGTGGATGTGGCGCCGGGCCCGGGTGGCGGCGGGCTCCAGCGGCGGGACCCCTTCGCCCCGCCCGCCTTTGCCTTCGCGCCCCCGGGCGAGGCCGAGGCCGGGGCCGTAATCGGCCGTGAGCCGGCGACGGGGGGCGGTCGGGGCCGCGGTCGCGGTCGGCGGCGGGGTGCGCGGGGCGGCGGCGGAGGCCGTGGGGGCCCGGGCGCACGGGAGCGGGAGCGGCCCGGGGAGCCCGATCGCACCATGGAAGCGGCGGCGGCCGGCCGGGGCGGCTTCCAGCCGCACCCGGGGCTGCAGAAGACGTTGGAGCAGTTCCACCTGAGCTCCATGAGCTCGCTGGGCGGCCCGGCCGCTTTCTCGGCGCGCTGGGCGCAGGAGGCCTACAAGAAGGAGAGCGCCAAGGAGGCGGGCGCGGCCACAGTGCCGGCGCCGGTGCCCACTGCCGCGGAGCCACCGCCCGTGCTGCACCTGCCTGCCATCCAGCCGCCGCCGCCCGTATTGCCCGGGCCCTTCTTCATGCCGTCGGATCGCTCCACCGAGCGCTGTGAGACCGTGCTGGAAGGGGAGACCATCTCTTGTTTCGTAGTGGGAGGCGAGAAGCGTCTGTGCCTGCCGCAGATCCTCAACTCGGTGCTGCGCGACTTCTCACTGCAGCAGATCAACTCGGTGTGCGATGAGCTGCACATCTACTGCTCGCGCTGCACCGCCGACCAGCTGGAGATCCTCAAAGTCATGGGCATCCTGCCCTTCTCCGCGCCCTCGTGCGGGCTCATCACCAAGACGGACGCCGAGCGCCTGTGCAATGCGCTGCTCTACGGCGGCGCCTACCCGCCTCCTTGCAAGAAGGAGCTGGCGGCCAGCCTGGCGCTGGGCCTGGAGCTCAGCGAGCGCAGCGTCCGCGTGTACCACGAGTGCTTCGGCAAATGCAAGGGGCTGCTGGTGCCCGAGCTGTACAGCAGTCCTAGCGCCGCCTGCATCCAGTGCCTCGACTGCCGCCTCATGTACCCGCCGCACAAGTTCGTGGTACACTCGCACAAGGCCCTGGAGAACCGGACCTGCCACTGGGGTTTCGACTCAGCCAACTGGCGGGCCTACATCCTGCTGAGCCAGGACTACACAGGCAAGGAGGAGCAGGCCCGCCTTGGCCGCTGCCTGGACGACGTGAAGGAGAAGTTCGACTATGCCAACAAGTACAAGCGGAGGGTGCCCCGGGTAAGTGTCCCCAGGGCTTGGGGTTAGCAAACCATGCCCAAGGAGGGGAGGGGAGTCCTCCTGGGTTGGGCACTCTGGGTTCTAAAGGTTGGGGCTCCTGGTTCGACTTTATCTGGCCTTGGGTTTTGATTTTAGGAAATTAGGGGCCTTGTCAGTCTCCTGTGGGTAAGGCCATAAGGCCGCCTTCGTGCTGTCTGAGCACTGTACTCATGAAGAGTGAGTGGGAAAGCCCTCTCAGGGCTCAAAACCCCTGTCCCCGTAGGCTGAGCTCAGGAGGTCTGAGAAAGAGGCTACCACAAGCTCTGCGAGGTTAGACTGTCTGGACCCAGGCTGTGACTTTTCTGTCCCAAATCTCCGTGGGACCTCGGCAGAGGTGTCCAGATGAGAATGAAGTTTGTCCCCTTCCTTATGACAGGGATGTCGTCTCGTGGTCCCCAGTTGACTAGCCTTGTATGTTTACTGGCTTTCTTGTCTTTAAATGACGGGGCACAGACACTAAAACGAAGTTAGCTAGTTGTCTTGGCAGAGACTTGGCACTTGTAGCCCTTTGAATCCCATTTGTGCACCTGAAGGGCACTTGGCCTGGTCAGCGGCGGTAGTCGCTGATGGTCTGCAGTATATTTGGACTCACCCATTTCCTTCTGTTGCTTTTGTACTTGGTGTGGAGGTTCTGTCAGCCCAGGCTGTGTTGTACGTGAGTCAAGAGGCTTTGTGGGAATCTTCTCCGGCATTTTCTGGGCCACTTAGTACCTAAACCGTTCGCTGGGGTCCACAGGAAGTTTCTTTGCATATGCATCCTAAGTATCTGTAACTTTTAAATATCCATGCTTATTAAATTGCACACAACAGAATGCTGCATTGGCTCAGCTATTCTTGGGAGACCTAATTAATTCAGCTATTGCATCAAACTTTTTTTTTTTCCTTCTAAATCTGTGAATAGATGCTGCAGCCCGGTTTTCTCTGGGCGCCCCTCCAGCAGAATGTCAGAGTTGTGGGGGGAAGGGGCTCTGAAGAAGGACCGTTGCCTCGTTCTTCAGGGGCTGCAGAGAGTGTGCATATGCTGCGTATTTTATGGCACTTCTGCCCCAGCCAGGACAATGCATCCTTGGGGGAGGCTGCAGGCAGGTCTTTTCAAGTGGACTTGTCAGTAGGCAAGCTGATGGCTGATGTGGGTCCTGCCAATGGATGCCTATCTGTCGGAATGTCTGCACCCTTGTCAGCCAATGTGGCCTGAGGTAGTCATGTGTGTGGTGACCGGTGAACTTTCTGGGACCGCAGTAGAGATGTGGGAATGGCGAGACTGCGCCTCTGGGAAGCTTTCACACCTCTTATCTTGAGTAGGCAAGGAATTGTGTCTGAGTTGGGCGTGTCTGTGTTTGTCTGCTCCGGGTCATGCGTGTTTGTGGTCTTTCTGTCTAGGTTTAGTGGACTGGCATGGTCCCTTTGCCCCAGCCACTGCTGAATGGGATACACTCCTGCCTCCTCTGCTCACAAGCCTGGTGGTTCTGGGTATGAGGGTCTTTGGGCTCAGAGGAGATGGCTCAGATGCCCGTGCCAGCACCGAGGGGTTAGCACACAGAACAGCGTGCTGAACCATAGTCATGTGCTTGGGTCATTTCCGCCGTGGTTTGTAACTGCCCTTCCCTTGCTAGCCACCCTGGCAGTACTTTGATGCCTCATTTACTGAGTGAAGAGAAATTTCAAAAGTGATTTGTGTCTCCAGCTCCACTCAGGCAGTGGTGGCATCAGTGTGGGGTTCCTATATGTCGGCCAGCTCCTGAGTGCTTCCATGGTGAGGAACTGGTAGACTGTTTTCCTCTTTGTGGGGTGCTCCCTGCTCAGACTCTATGAGTCTATAGTTGGGGTTTGGGCTGGACTGTGCTCCTCCAGTCCGCATTGGGCCGCCATGTATGTACCTGCGTGAACCACAGGTAACACCCAGGAAGGGACATCAGTCTGGGAAGTCTTAGCTTGTCCTAAGAGGAGTGGCCTGGGTTATGACTCCCTTACTCCCGTCACAGCGTGTTTTAATATTTCTGTTCTACTGAGGAGGGCACAAGGAGCAGAGAATGTGCTGTCTCTTGGGCTGAGGGTGAGCGGAATGCTCTGTGGGAGGGTGGAGGTCAGTGGTCCTCCTGAGTTCCTGATGCTCTGATGACATTTGGCTGCTTTGCTCTATGGCAGCCTGACTGAGGTGGCTTCTGTGTGGCTGAGGTAGGGTCTGCTTGGTCAGGTAGAATTGGCCTGGTTGAGGTGGACTTATGGTTTCTGTGGTCAGCTGAGTGTGTGTGGGAGTAGGGAACTTTGAGCTTGGAGCCTGAAACTTTGCTGCAGGCCACTGTACCCCCCTTGGCAAAGGTTGGTGGGCGTCTGCTGCAGTGTCTTCCTAATGCCATGGGGAAATGGGAAATCCCACTTCTCTCTTGTGACTGTCAGGCCCAGCTTTCTCCTGGTAAAGCTTTGAAGATGTAGGCTGCCTGGATGCTCAGTGAGCCTGTTGTTCCCAGGGGCCCCCTTGACTGCTTTCCCCAGCAGACCCATAGGGAGCCAGTTCTGCTGTGGACCCTCATGGAGTTGGTCTTACATTCCCATCCTCACTGGCTGTGTGAGCTTGGGCAAATGCTTAGCCCCTCTGTGCCTCATTTTCCTCATGTCATTTGAGACTAACACTTTGTTGAACCTGTCTCAGACTCACATTTCTTGGGTCAGCACAGACGAATGGGATCTGTAAAGCTTGCCCTCCCGTCTTGCAGCTGCCTGGACAGTTTTCTCTTGGACTTCAGTCTATGAGCATAAAGAGAAACATGGACAATGACATTTTGAGCTGCCACTTTGTGTGCTTTGTGGGATGTGGCTGCTGGTCCATAGGAAGGGTGGAAACCAGGCTGGCCACGGGCTGCGGTGACTCCTGGCCATAGCAAGTGGGCTTTGGTGTGGAGGAGCTTGGGTTATCTTAGGTTATTGCATCTCTGTCCTCTTTTGAGCCTGGGTTCTCAGGACGTTCTGTCAGCTGATAGGGTCACTTTATGTGGACAGTATGACTGAGGTCATGTTTCTAAACTGGACACCTAGCCGGGTGGTCAGCTTTAGGGAACACTGAATACTGGGTGTTTTGGGACATGGTAACAGCTTTTGGGTGCAGGGCTGGGTTCAGGAGTCCTTTCTGTGGGTTATGGTTTGCTCTTTTGGTCTTCTTGGGATAAGGGTCTTGCCTTCTGAGTGATGGAATCACACTTGTGCACCACCATGGTCAACTGTGGTTTGTCCTTATGAGAAGATTGATATAGGAGAGGACGGTGTCAATATGTTAGGACCCTGTCTCTCGAACACCTGCAGGTCTGGGTGTTCTTTTCTTCTGTCCACTGGCATCGTTGTGAAGAATGTCCCCTAGAATCATGTCCTGTGTTGGACTTTCTTAGAGTTACCATTGATTATTCCCCTCCAGACACTTGCACCAAAAAGGTGGGGTTCCAGGTCCTGAGGTCAGGGCCTGGTCCAGGAGGGGCCTCCCTGGGATGGCTGCCCAGGTGGTGGGTCCAGTCCAAGGCTAGTGGGTCTTCATAGGGTGGGACAACAGCTTGAGGGTGGGCTCTGGGTGCTACACACACCATAGCCAGCTGTGGGTGGCGGTGGGAATGATTATTGGTGTTCATCCCCCTCTGAGAGGGTCAAGTTCTCTTCTGTGGCCTGTCAGCCTATCTGTCCATCTGTCCTGCTACCTTCTGGGGCTCCTCTGGGAGCCATCTGGGTCCCTCACCATCTGGAGGAAGCAGGGTCATTGAGTAGCCCTCACCCCTGTCCTTGGCTGCCCACTGGAGGCCCTGGGTCATCAAGAAGCTTCCAAGAGTAAGGTCATTGACTCTCAGCGTTTCTCAACCTCCCCTGTAGTTGGTTTGTGTAATGTCTGTCTGAAGTGTCTAAGGGCAGACAGGATGTAGAGGGTGAGGAAGTCTGGGCCAAGTGTGAACCCAGCCCTGCCCTGGAGCTGGGTGGGGGCCCCCCTGGGCCAGGTCCAAGTTGCTGTCTTTGCAGCCCCAGCAGGGAGGCTGCGGTTCAGGGGCTGCCCTGCCCCTGCTGTCTGGCAGGAGGTGAGATGGCCATGGCTGGGGCTGGACTCTGTGCAATAGTGTCTCTTTCTAAGGATTGCGAAAGTTGAGGGAAGGTTTCTACTTTGGAAGAATTATGCAAGTTTCAACTGAAATGTTTTTTAAAAGTTTCTTTGTTTTGAATCAAAACACAGGCTAGATTACTTCTGTGAGCTCTAGTAGAGCTGAACAGAGGGGAGCCCTTGCTCTTTTCAAACTCCTGTCTGCCATGAAAGGGAAAGGTTTGGGAACTGGATGCTATTTAGATGGGGGCTTGGGATCATTGGCTGGGGGGTGCTCTGCTTTTGGTGCCCTGTGTAGTCCAAGGAGGAGCAGGTGTTGGTCGTTATCCTTTGTACCACTGACAGCACCTTGTGGGTCCTATCACGCTTACTTGCCTATGCCACTCCAGCAAGGCTGTCTCCCACCTTCTCTTGTGACCCAGTGGGCCTTTCTGGACCAAGTATTGTGTGTCAATGATCTTGCTGCCTGTCGAGGTACTTTGAGGTTATCCTGGGTCAACCCATGTCACCAGGGGCCGAGTGTAGTGAATGGTTGTTCATAGAGCTGCTCTCCGCAGATGAGGCCCTGTCCCCAAGCTTTTGTGTTGCTGCCTAGAGAACCCTGGGTTCTAGATGCACTGCTGCCAGTTTACTCTTGCCTCCTGAAACAGAGGACCAGTGTTTGGATGGATTTTAGGTGGGACTAGAGAAAGAGTGATGTGAGGGCCGGAGCCTGTGGCCTTCAGGGAACATGTGCACGCTGCACAGTGACATTACCAAGTGTCCTGTGAGTAGAGTTGGCTAAGCTTGTCTGAGCATTCTGAGTCACTGACCTGTTTGTGTGGAAACAGATAAAGGGATCTTGGCAAGAGCCCAGAGTCACCGAGATCTGTCTTGGTGTTTGGCATTTGTA